GACAGGGTTTCTCTGTGTAGCTTTGCGCCTTTTCCTGGAACTCACTTGGTAGCCCAGGCTGGCCTCGAACTCACAGAGATCCGACTGCCTCTGCCTCCCGAGTGCTGGGATTAAAGGCGTGCGCCACCACCGCCCGGCTACAACTGCCTCTTGAGTGGGAACAGAGACAGCAGTGGGCTGGCAGAGGGACAGGTTTTCATAGGGTCTTTGGAGCCTGCGTAGTGAGCTAGTAGAAAAGTACAGCCTAGCCGGAAGTATTGCTTGGCAGTTAACCCTGAGTCATGGGAGTGGGGGTTTCCAAGTTCTGGGTTTGGGGACAGGCCAAGGACAGAATGCTTTTCCATTGGCCTATTACACTGTATTCTGAGAGTCTGAATTCAGTTCCTCATGCTTGTGTGCAAGTAGCACTTTACCGACTAAGTCATCACCCCTGCCCGTACGCATTGGTTTTCCCCAAATATCTGGTTCCCATAAAACTTACAGCACCTAAACCACAGATCCGAAACAGAATTAGTCCAATCGTAGCCACGGCCCTGATGTGGGCACTGTCTGATGTGTTAAAAATGGAGCCGGCACCAGGGAGAACATAGGCAGCCTACCTGGTGTGAGTCACAAGGTTTTGTGACCTGGACACTGTCCATCCCTGATAGGGAATGAGTGCACTGACCTCCGGAAGACCTCTCTACATCCAGCATGACTGTCTCCAGGAACTGCAGTGGGTAAACTCAGAAGAAAGATGTAGGCCTGTGCTCTGAGTAAGCCTCTGGTAGCTGCTGTGAAGGGAAATCGCAAGCTGCCTGAAAGCCAGATCACCTGTAGCTGGAGGGCTATGCTAAGACACTCAGTAGCATCCGCAGGAAGAGCCTCCTGCAGCAATGAGCCTTTCTGAGGGGCCGGCTTTTGTTTGCCAGGCTGGAGGTTTACGTCCATTAGACACTGAAGAGCCGTTTTAAGAATCCAGAGAGCGAAAGACTAGAAAGAGGAGTCACTTGTCCTTCGCTTTAAACATTTTCTGCTTCAAATTCATTAAGCCACATGCAGAAGGACCCTTGAGATCCTAGAGACCCTGCTTGTGACAATAGCAAGCTGTTACCAAAGGGGCTTTATTATCCCGTGGCAAGACCTGCCTTCAAATACTCCAGCCATGTGAGCTAGGGCATCGTTCTCTCAGAAACCTGAAGACAGCAAGCGGGTTTTCTTTCCTTTCTTCCTCTCTCCTTCTTCCCTTGCTCCCTTCCTCTCTCTTCTCCCCTCTCTCCCTGTCACTCCCCTCCCCATACCCACCTCCTCTTTCTTTTTTTCTTCCTCTTAGGTCCTGGACATGGACCCCTGAGCTGTGTATGCTAGGCAAGTGCTCTACCACTGAGCGACACCCCAGCCTTGTTCTTGTCTGTTTTTGTTTTGTCCCGTTTATTTATTTAATTATTTAAAATTTCAAGACAAGGTTTCATGTATCCCAGGCTAGCCCCAAACTTCCTATGTAGCTGAGAGTACCCATGAACTTCTGATTCTTCTGCCTCCACCTCAGTCCGGGAACCAGAGGGACACTGCCATGACTGGCATTATGCAGTGCTGGGCACCAAGGGCGTTGTGGATGCTGGGTGGACACTGCCCGCTGAGGGACGCCTCCAGCCCTTTGTCGTGTCTTTATAAGGTAGCTTGTGTTTGCATTTCTTCTTCTTTTTTTCTCTTTAACCCATTATCTTCCTCTAGGAAATTTCTCATTTTAGACACTTTGTTGAACTTTCAAGTAAGCCTGGCCTCCTAGAGAACAGGCCAGCAGTGTCTCTGTGTGTGAGTGGGCCTCAGCCCAGGAAATCTTCAGATGATAGGGTTCACCTTCCACCCATGTCATTCCCAGAATAACAGAGTCCCACAGAAAGAGTTCTGCACTGTCACCTGCTTTTGGTTGTCTTGGAAACCAAATCCAGGACCTACAGAGTTCCGTCCCCTCCTCAACCCTGACTTCTGGAGCATCATGGGAGCAGGGAAAAGGAATTAGACACTCCTTTCTTGGTGCCAGGGCAGGAGCCTGGAGGATGTAATCATGTTCCCTTGTCTGTCTTTGCACAACAAGCACCTATTAATTATCTGCTCTGGAGAGAGATGAATAAGACAGGAGTCTCTTAATGCCACTTGAGATGGCCTGGAGCACAGCGGGTGACCCTGTTAGAGGAAGCATCCTGCTGTGAGGTCTTGCTGGGGGAAGCTGCACTTCTTCTCACTTTCATGGCTTGGTAAACAAGTGCCTTTTGCAGTAAAAAGTCATTTTGAAGCTGTTTCCTCCCTAACTTGCTTGGTACCTTCCCTAAGCTGTGGCAGGAGTTAACTCTCTTCCCGCCTCTCTCCTCCTCCTCTAGACCTTCCTGGGGCTCCATCCAACCTGGTGATTTCCAACATCAGCCCTCGCTCAGCCACACTTCAGTTCCGACCCGGCTATGATGGGAAGACAGCCATCTGCAAGTGGATCGTGGAGGGGCAGGTATGTGCCTCATGGCCCCGAGTGTTAGTAGCTTTTTGTGGTGCTATAACCAAATACCTGACACAGCAGCTTAAGGAGGAAGGAAGCTTTATTTTGGCTCACAGTTGCAGTACTGTCCATAAAGGCAGGGAAGTCATAGTAACAGGAATGTGAGCCAGCTGGTCACATGATCATCCACAGTCAGAAAGCAGAAAGGAATGATTGCTGATGCTCAGTGCATTTTCTCCTTTTTACTCAGTCCAGGCCCCCAGCCCATGGATGGGGACATCCATATTCAGAGTGGGTCTTCTCACCTCAGTTCTGGAAACTCCCTCACAGACATGGCCAAAGGTGTGTCTCCTAGGTAATTCTAGGTGATATCAAATTGCCAATATTAAACACCACACCCCAGGAACTGGGGATTCCCAATAGAAAGATGATGATAAGGACCTCTCTTTTAGCAAGTGTTGAAGTTCCTTCTAAAATGACTCCTCCTCGGTTGCTGGAGGGACTCCAAGATAACTAAAAGGTGTTGTGCTTGGAGAGGAAGAAAAGAGACAGGAATGAAATCAGACACTGGGGGCAGGATGGGCAAAGATGAGAAAATCAGGGTCCTATCAAATGGCCAGAGAATTTAGAATAAAGGAGGAAACTCAAGGCTGTTCCAGCATGGTACCCCAAATTAGATAGCACAGTCGACTGACTTTTAAATTCTACATCACAGTTAGCTACCAGACTGGTACAGCTTGTCTGGCATAGAGCATCATGGGTACAGCTGCCTTTCCAGAGCAGGCTCTGTCTCCAGATGCTGTTCTAGGCATGGAGGATCCAGTGTTAGCTTGTGCTGTGGAGGGAAATGTTCTTCTGGGTGGCAGGACCTCCTGCTGCAGGGTGTGTCTGGAGACAGGACAGAGCAATAGGATGTGATGGAAAAATCTACCATATGGATCCAAGGATGGGCTGAGGGAAAGACTCAATGTAATGTCAAGGGCTGTAATAAACATGGGAGGGTCTGGGCATCTAGGAGGGCTATATGTAGATAGGCTCTGCTGGCATAGATGAATACCACACATTCCACCAGCTCCATGTTCGGATAAAAGAGAAAAAGATGAGGAACCAAATTACAAGCAATGAGTGGTGATGTTTGGAAGTAGTTCCTGTGTAATTAGACCCTGGTAACTCATTGCTGTCCTTGCACTGGGTTGTTGGAGTCTCTTCTGAGTACTGGCTATGAATTAGGAAGCAAATTTTACACCTACATGTGCAAAAGTTTCACCAAGCCCACCTTTCTGGAAAGCTATGTAGAATCTCCACAGTGTAAACTATCTGGATGGGAGCTATCTGTCACTGGGGCTGAGCCTATTTACTTAAGAAAAATAAGAGTATATCTGTATTTTACATCTAATCAAAAAATTCCCAGTGAATAAAAAAAATATGATGGAAACAGACTTTGAAACTCTTAAAAGAAAAATGTCTGTGGAAAACTAATTGTTACAACTTAATATTTATTGGTCCTAGTAGGTGAGCCAAGCACTATGTGGACCAAAGTATCAGCCACACCTGACATTCCTAGAAGCATTTTTACACTCCTGCTTCCCTCCCTTGAAGCCCTCCTCATCCATTGGTAGTCACTTGTCTTCTCTCTGTCACTATAGATTATATCTCTTTTTCTTTTTTCTAAGAGTCTTCTGCCCTTTTTCCCAGTGCCATGTCCTACTGACAACACCTAGGCACCGGAGAGGTCCTTGCATGATTTCTTCTAGTGGAACCACTTAGCACTCCTCTGTCCCTCCATGTCCTTTGAACCAGAAGTTCTTCACAAAAACTTGATGAAATGTGCTTTCACTTTTACATCTCCCTCTCCTTCCTGCCTTCCCTCCTTCCTGCACCCTCAGCATATCCTTGGTTCTCTGCACATGTTGAGGTAGATAAAGAGCAGGGAGTTATGCCAAATAGAGCAGCAGGTGAAAGTGAACTGTCTGATCCCTGATCCCTACTCTACCAGTTCCCCATCAGTGTTTTATCTACTCGCTCGTGCATACTGTTTCACCTGAACTATTTTCTTTGAACATTCAGAATGGAATTTTTTTTTTATTCTCTCGACCTTTACTCACTTTGTCTCTGGAACTTTGAAGGGAAGCCCTTGCCCTAATCCCACACATTGTGTAGGTATCCTCAAAGCTAGGAAGGCAGAAAAACACTCATTTATAAATTATCAAAGTAAGGCACTGCCTCCTTCTTCCAGTGTTAAACAGATTTGTTTTCTTTTTTTCTTTTTGTTATGTTTCTTTCCTACCATTGCAATAATTATGAAAGCATATGCTTTTATATTCAGTGTGTTCCAGGCATCTATCTGTACTCATTGCTCTATTTTAATCGTGTGTGTGTGTGTGTGTGTGTGTGTGTGTGTGTCTGTGTGTGTGTGTGTCTGTGTGTCTGTCTGTCTGTCTGTCTGTCTATCTGTCTATCTGTGCATGCCATGGTGCATGTATGAAGTCCTCACCCTCATCTTGTGTGACACAGTGTCTTTTGCCTGTTGTGAACACCAGGTGAGCTGGCCCCTGAACTTCAGGGAGTCTCCTGCTTCCACCCTCTTATCTGTCCATAGGAACACAGGGATTATGGACATATGCTACCATGTCCATCTTTGTGTAGGTTCTAGGGATTCAAACTCAGGACCTTGTGCTTGTGTGGTGAGCACTTTGCCCACAGAGTTGTCTATCTCCTTTACCCCATTGCTGTCCTTTGAGTCCTAAATTCACCCATCTTTATCCCTTTATGTTCTAGATTTCTTGGCATGAGGAGATCTGGTTTTCTGGTGTTACATGATGTCTCAGGACATGGGGCCTTCCTGGTCCAAGCTCATATGAGCTGTTTCTACATGGGCCTGTGTTTTAAATAGTGTCAAATAACATTTAAAAATCAAAACCTAAGCATCAAAAGCTGAGCGAGCTCATTGCTACCATCTCATCATTGCTTCTAGACCTGTCTGGTCAGGAGAGGAAATACATTAAACATTTTTGTTAGATTTACTTTCACATTCATAAGTATTTTGCCTATATGTACATTTATGTACCATATGTGTGCCTGGTGTTCATGGAGGCCAGAAGAGGGTGTCAGATCTACTAGAACGGGTTGTGAGCCATTATTATGTATCCTGGAAATTGAACCTGTGTCTTCAGGAAGAGCAGCTAGTGCTCTTAACCACTGAGCCATCTCTCGGCCCCAGGAAAGATATATTTTTAACACCATATGGTCATAGTGATATTCCCAATTCAAATAAAATATCATTATCCTTAAATTCACATCTTATTCTAAGTTTGCCATATACTAAAATGCATTTTTAAAGAAACCCCAATGTTCTTATTTTTCTTACCTGACTATTATACTGAGTGTAAACCTGTGATTCCAACAGAGTAATCAAAAAAACTACTAATGCAATGTAAGTGTTTATCCTTAGATTTAATTCTCTCCTGCATTCACAGTCAAGATGCTGAGCTTAAAAAAAAAAATCACTCAACAGCATTCTTTGCTTACCTGCTTTCATCACCAACTTGTAGATAACCAGACACATTCATTTCAGGTGTTGTGTTCTTTTGCCTTGCTTATTAGCAGTTAGTTTCTTTAAAGATCATTTCACCTGAGAGAAATGGCTAGGGATTTTTAAGTTTATTTTCATTTGTAACCATTTACATTATTACAGAGTCAAAGCTATAGAAAAATAATGTGCTGGGAAGTCTAGGTTCTCCTGCCTATTACTACACCTCATGGGTAATCATGCCTATTTGAATTTTGGTCTACCCTTTGTAGGTATGTGTTCATGTGTGTGCAGGTGCACATATGTGTGCAATGTACACATGTACACATTCTTATAGAGGCCAGAGGTCAACCTCAGCTTTTGTTCCTTAGGTACTGTTTGCCTGGCTTTGGAAACAGTCTCTTAAGTGCTTGGGGCTCACTGAGCAGTCTAGGCTGGGTGACCAGCCAGCCCCGGGAATCCTCTTGTCTCTAACTCCCAACCACTTGGATTACAAGTGAGTGTCAGCCATGCTCAGGTTTTTTGTTTTGTTTTGTTTAACTTGGGTTCTGTGGATCAAACTCAGGTTGCAAGGTAGACACTTTACTGAATGAACTTTCTTCCCAGATCTCTATTCTTCTCTTTGACAACAGAAACAAATCTCCATATTTGTATTACCATTCTTGGGTGGAATGTGGACTTCCCTCACGATGAAGTGGTTAATGCACATCTGTCCATTTCCTGGTGGCTCCCTCCATCCTTCCTGTAGCTGAGCCCTGCTCTGGATTATTTAGCCAGCCCTCCATGTTGGGCATGTGTTTTCTATCACTGCCATCAACAGATTGCCAAACACCGAGTGCTTTACACAACAGAAACATGCTATTAGAGACCTTTAGGTCCCAAGTCTAGTGTGGGTTTTATGACTAAACCATGATGCCCATAGCACAGTGCCCCCTCCGGACACTCTGAAGAGGAACCGGGTTCTGTGATCATTAATGCGTAGGTAGAAATCGGTTCCATGTTGGGAGCCTGAGGTTTAGTGTGTGGGAAGCTACCTGTCAGCAGGGCTATTCTAGCAGCTGGAGGTCACCTTGTTGGGTGTCTCATCCTTCCCATCTTCAAAGTCTGCCACAGTAAGTGGGTCTTCTTCAGGCTCGGTCTCTCTTTATGCTTTGGTCTCATCTCAGTGACCCTCTTCCATTTCTAAGTACGCTGTGGTGACTTTGGAGCCAATGTTCTTGCTCTTTAATGTGTTTAGCCTTGTTGCCATCAGCCTAGACTCCTAAGCCACATGAGGCACCTTGGGCATAGGTTCTGGGAATCAAAGGGGACAAGGTTTAGGAAAGGATTATTCTACCAGGAAGTTGATCTTTTGTCCTTTTGCTGTGATATATCTTCAGATTAGACCCCAGGCATGAGGCTTCCGGGTGTAGTCAGATTTTTCTTTGGGCTGTCAGCTCACAAATGACAACGTGGAGATGTATTATTAATTGTGAACGATTGG